GAGATTGTGGGTATCTCGTGTTTGTGGAAGGCATGGCCCTGCATCATACCTGCACCCACGACTGGCCTCAGACTGACATGAGGCTGACATGAGACTGACCAGAAACTGACCAAAAGACTGACCCGTGTTTGACCTTAGACTGACCTGAATTTTACCTTATTTGACCTAAGACCAACCTGAAACTGATACGAGACTGACCCCAAATTGACCTGAAATTGACCTGAGTTTGACCTGAGAGTGACCTGAGAGTGGCCTGAAAGTGATATGAGACTCTCATTATGAGAGTTTCTAGAGCGATCTGAGTGTGGCCTGAAAGTGACCTACGACTGACACAAAACCTTCTCCCCCCATGTACTTGACTGGCGAAGCTAAAGAAGGCATTGAACACAAAGGGTGTGCTACACGGGCCAGGGTTGTCGATGAAAAGGAAGAGGCAGATGGGCGCTGCACTGTGCTGCTCCTGACGTGTTGCTGGTGGGGGGCGTGAGGATGATGGTGCCATTGAATGGTTGCGCTGCTGCACCTGCCAGAGAGACTGCTGTTGTCTGTGATGATTTGGTTGAAGGGAGAATTGCAGGGTTATCCAGAGCGAGGCAAGGCAGATGGGTGCAAACGGAACGGAAGAAATATGCTTGGATGTAAATAAATCAACACCAGGAGTTCGAGAGGTTTCAACTGCGATGCAGCTGTAATGGTAACAATTACAAGGAATAAGCAGGGTATGCAACGCAATCAAAGGGCACAACAAGAGAGTGCCATCTGCTTCTTACGCCAGATCACTCAGCCTCTCCCAAAACTTGTGTATACACACAACTGTAGGAGCACGAGGGCAGTCCGGCCTGGTTGTCAAAGCTGCTATCGCAGGTGTATACTGATTCGTTCACAGATTCACTGAAGGAGCACATGACATGCCCGCTGCACAGGGGTTGGCAATCCCCAGCAGAAACCCCACAGAACGCACCACACTCCTCTGCACTCCTCTGCTCCAAGTAGTCTCCGGGCGCCCGGGATGCGTTGAGCAGACAATGCTCAAAGGCGTTGCCAAGGTAGGTGTGGTTGGCCTCGGGCGGGATGATGGTCCCGTGGAAGAAGAAGTTGCGGTGGGTGTAGGGTAGGTAGGGCGGGAACTGGTTGGCTGCAAGTAGGGCGACAGGGGCAATGGCAGTCACCCTGTCACTGGTTGGCTGACATGTCACTATAAAAAAGGGGGGGCGAGGGCAGGGAGAGCCAAGGCGAGGAGTGGGTGGGAAAATGGCGCATGAGCGGGGGTGTGACAAGAGTGGGTGAGAAGTGAACACGCACAGGGTGGTGCAGAGGAAAGATGCAGTGTTCTGTTGGAAGAATGTGTTTGATGCTGGTCAGCAATTACCAGCGCGCAAGCAGACGAGCCTTGAACATACAGATAAACCATCGGACCAAAGGAAGGGGCTTGGTGTAAACCATCGGACCAAAGGAAGGGGCTTGGTGTAAACCATCGGACCAAAGGAAGGGGCTTGGTGTAAACCATCGGACCAAAGGAAGGGGCTTGGTGTAAACCATCGGACCAAAGGAAGGGGCTTGGTGTAAACCATCGGACCAAAGGAAGGGGCTTGGTGTAAACCATCGGACCAAAGGAAGGGGCTTGGTGTACACCATCGGACCAAAAGAAGGGGCTTGGTGTAACAAGCATTTTCAGTCCTATCTGTAGTCCTCCTTCCCAATCCAATGCTCTCTTAGAATGGGCTCTTTCAGGACCCCCTCAACACACCAAGGCAAGTAACAAATGGCACATGGCCCATTGGCACATGGGACCTGGGACATGGCAAATAGCACATGGTGCATGCCATATGCGATTCCCCCCATGCACGTGCAACGTGACAAGGCTGGCCATATTGCGTGTGATGCCGTACACATCGCCAAAGAGGACATTCCTGTTCAGGTAGCTGGAAGAAAGCACATCCGAAGACAACTCGTGAACGCGGCATGCATGGCATGGCAGCACTTGGACTCCCATCCAGCAGGGTTGAGTGCGCTTCCTAAGGCCCTCAGCGGAGGTAGCATGGAGTGCTGTTGTTGCATGCAGTTGCGTTGCATACAAGCATGATTTCAACTACATGTCAAGGTTGGTAACTTGGATAAGTGTGATTGGACCAGACGCCAAGGGACACTGGATACAACAGCAAGCAGCCAGAGTGCACACACAAAAAGCCCAAGTTCTGAAGGAGAATGATCTGGGGACCGTGCCCCTGAGCCCCACACCCTCCAGCTACCTCAACCCACAGCGTGGAAGACGTCGTGTGCACACGTGATACATCACAGACTATGATGATGGAACGATAAGGGAGTCATTGAGTGAACGAGAGAGAGAGCATTCTATTGCAGTCTGCACATAAGTCTTTAACACGCAATGTCTCAGTACCTTTCTGATGACTCTTGTCCTCAAAGCTACTGACATAGACTGATGCAAATCCAAGGAGACTCAGAATCATACGTGCACAGGAGGTTGCACCAGCAACACACCAGGCAAGCAAGGCAAACTCCAAGAGAGAAGCTACAAAGATGGGTTATGGTTGGCGAGATGTCAAGGTGACTCAGGGTTCCAATAGAGGGGCTAGGTTTCACCAATGTTTGACCGTGCCAGCTCCCTGTAAATACATGGCTTGATTAAACACTAGGTTGGGGATAAGAAAGGAGAGCATGATTTCAGCATGCTACACGTGTCTCCTATCGTGATGTGATAGGCCTAACAAGTAGCACGAGCGCTACAAACATCAGAGCGGACAAATGAGAGAGCTACCAGATAGTGGGTTTCGGCGAAATCCATTATCATAAACCACTGCCTCTGTCCTTAGGGCAGTGTCCTTATGAAGCAAGGGCCAAAACGGGGGAGTGGAGGTCTGTAGACTAAAATCTCGTTCTGGATCCATACACTATGTTTCGGCTGTACCCTGTGTACAGAATGAATCACTCACAACCATAAAAAATTGTCTATGATTGTATGTTGAACCCTAAAGCTATAATGATTGGTGTCAAGCGTCTATTCGAGACATTAGTAAGGCTGGAGTACGGTAGGGAAAGAGGAATTTTTGGTGGAGCGGTGATTAGCCCAGAGATTGAAAAGAACACCGCACGTGCTCTTACAACTTGTGAGTCACAGTTCCACGAGCAGATTCTTGGCCCCATGCAGTGACAGAATGAACGGCGTACATACCGTACTCATGGTGACTGCATACATGCTCATGATGACTGCATACATGCTCATGATGACTGCATACATGCTCATGATGACTGCATGCATGCTCATGATATCTGCATACATGCTCATCAGTGTGGGTAGGGTGGAGATCTAATCAGGAATGGCGCCAGGGAAGTTGTTATTGTGCAGGTCGCTGCACGGCAGAGCACAGGATAGAGACAAATTCTTTTCAGTCAGCTAAAAAGCACCGAGCTTGTCGTCGACTCTAAGGCAGAGCAGGGGAACAGAGGCAGTTGCATCGATCCATTTTAATCAATCTGACTTCTTTCAAGAGCTCGAGAAACATCCACATGGCCTAGGCGCGTAAGTTATATTGTTGAGGGCTGCAGCGTCACTTTATCAGACTCAAGGGGGCATTGCAACATCGTTATCTTGATAGGAGCGGAGCTTCACTGCCTTGCATGCAGCAAGGCGAGGAGGACAGTCAGAACAGGGCATGGCAAAAGGAGAGCCGCTTGGCGCTGTGAGTGAACAAATAACACGTGTAGATGCAACAGCAGGGTGGGCGAGGCAGTGGGGTGGCTGACAAAATATCGAAGGTGGAGATGGTGCTGAGGGCAGACTGCTGTCCACAGTGAACCCGTTGAGCGAAAGGCTCCTGCACATGGTTACAGGGAATGGAATGGACCACTGGCCATGCGTTATGTGCCCCACTGAGTGCTACGGACAACGAGATACACATGCATGGGATAGCCTTGGTAAAAGCAGAACCCAATATTCTTGCATGGTGCAGTGCTGAGTGCTAACGCACAGGAATGCATGCATGCACACAACGCCCTGTACATAGTCCGCGCTGCACCACAGCAATCCCCCTCCCATTCCTCTTTCAATATCTATCTGTTAGAATGTTGCATATGCTAGTTAATACTACTGTAAGTGATACACCCAATGTGGTACACTTTGGCTCAAGTAGCCCCAACCGATTTTGGTTGAGTGCTTCCCAACATTTTTGGACCGTATTTGTTGGGGGATCCCAAATAATGACTGAGCCATCCAATCAATTATTGCCCCCCCCCCATCCCCCAATAATGTTGGCCAACCATTGCGTGGTCAACCTAATTGACCCACCAATGATGGTGTGGGCACTCATCCAATCTGCCCACCGTTTCCTTTCCTATGTTAACCTATCGCTCATTTATCACAATCATAACTTGAGACTCTTTCACTCTGCACACGCAGTGGCCCCATGCCAGTACACCCGCAACCACTAACCCTCTACCCTCTTCGACCCAGTGTCACCCCTCAGCAATTGAGCCTGCCCAGATCTCTCAGTGCAGTGGATATATTACAGTGTGGCGAGTTGGTTGAGGTGCGACAGATAAGGGACTCAGGCACGGATCAGCTCAGCCAGTTCTGCGCAGATCACTCACATCAGGTTGGTCAACAAGCTGATCAACTCAGCAGGTTCCTCCAGAGAACAGATGGTCAAGAAGGGATCCGAGAAAGGGAGAGAGCATGGGACTACCTGGCATGTGACACAAACTCATGCAATGAAACAGGGACAGAGCCAAGTAGTTGTGGGATGGATTAGGTAGGAGGGGTAAGGGTGGTACTGACAGGTAGGTGACACTGAAGGAGGTTGCTCATGTCATTTGGAGATGTTCAGATGATTCACTCTCGGCTTGCTGCATGTGTGGCGCACACATGGGGAAACATGGGGATAGATGGGATACACGAAATGGGGTTGGATGGGGTTGGACGTATAAGGTTGTGGCAAGGAAAATGAACGATTAGGAGAGGGAGAGGGAGGGGAGACGTAGAAGGACTACAGATGGGGCAATGTACTGAGGTGAGGAGAGGGATGCCTGGGACGTTGATGGTGCGTCCCATCTGCCGCACTGCACGCACGCACATGCGCTGGAGCAGCACTCACATGCGTTGGAGCAGCACTCACATGCGCTGGAGTAGCACTCACATGTGTTGGAGCAGCACTCACATGCGCTGGAGCAGCATTCACATGCGCTGGAGTAGCACTCACATGCGCTGGAGCAGCACTCACATGCGCTGGAGCAGCACTCACATGCGCTGGAGCAGCACTCACATGCGCTGGAGCAGCACTCACATGCGCTGGAGCAGCACTCACATGCGCTGGAGCAGCACTCACATGCGCTCGAGCAGCACTCACATGCGCTGGAGCAGCACTCACATGCGCTGGAGCAGCACTCATATGCGCTGGAGCAGCACTCACATGCGCTGGAGCAGTACTCACATGCGCTGGAGCAGCACTCACATGCGATGGAGCAGCATTCACATGCGCTGGAGTAGCACTCACATGCGCTGGAGCAGCACTCACATGCGCTGGAGCAGCACTCACAGGCGCTGGAGCAGCAATCACATGCGCTGGAGCAGCACTCACATGCGCTGGAGCAGCACTCACATGCCTCACGTACCAGGGAGACAACGTTGCGTTGCCTTGCCATGAGCGTCGCATGTGACGCCCTGCACGGTTGAGCAGTTACTGCTGCACGACCACGCCTGCCAGCCGCCCCCAAGCTGCCCCCATGCCGCCAGCGCCTGCGGAACAGCTTGACTGCCAGCGAAGGCCGGAGAGGGTTGGACGCAGGGGGTGCAGCCGCGGGCTCACGGAGGTCAGCGGGCACGGTGGAGTGTGGGGGGAGGGAATCCACATGGGGAGGGGCATGGGGGCACGCAGGGACCGGAAGAGGGTTGTGCGACAGATGAGTAAGGGTTGTTGGGAGAGGGGATGAGAAGAGGGAGTGGAGGGAGGAAAGGGAGGGAAAGGAGGGAAGGCGGGGTGATAACAGGGTAGTAGCATAGGAAGGGGGGCATGGAGAGGCAAAGAGGGGGCATGGAGAGGCAAAGAGGGGGCAGGGAGAGGCAGAACAAGGATGTTAAGGGTGAGTTGTGCGTTCAGGAGAGCGATTGACCATTGCAGCACATGCGAAACAGCTAGAGTGCTTCTAAGGAACGCGGTGAAAGAGAGTCACAGTGGCATTGGCGAATCTTGGCATGGAAAATCTCACACCACCCCTGCATGCCGCCGCCCCACCGCCCCATACCTTCCCATTCCGTTGCATCACCCCATACCACCCCATTCCCATACCACTCCATGCTGCCTCACCACCCGCTAGGGCGCACTCACAGCCTGCCGCCTGTATTTGCCACCCCGCCGCCAGCGTGCAGCGCGAGCAGAAGCAGGTGAGCAGCAGCAGTGGGAGCATGGCGGGGCAGGAGATGGGTCTGCGCTTGGTAAGAGCGGCAGGGGGGAACAATAGGGAAGGGGGAGGGGAGTTAATGAAACCGGGAGAGGGGAGGGGAAGGCAGAAGCGAGGCAGAGGGAGAGCGCTAGGATGCAGGAGAGAGTGAGCACCCCCACTCCCCATGACACCACCCCCATTCCCCCCACCTCCTTTTCATTTCCTTCCCCCCTCGTAGCACATACCTGTCAGGGCTTTATTCTTTGCTTGGGTTGGCTTATGCGTTCTTACCTTGGTTCTTTACCATTGACTTTGCTGTACCACTTGTATTCAATGACAAGGACAGTTCGACTGTTGGGGGGGTGTCCATAGGGGGGTTGACTCAGTCGCACTGAGCGACGATACACTGCGCACCAATACACTGCGCAACGATACACTGCGCAACGATACACTGTGCAACGATACACTGCACAAAGATACACTGCGCAGCGATACACTGTGCAACGATACACTGTGCAACGATACACTGCGCAACAATACACTGTGCAATGATACACTGTGCAACAATACATTGTGCAACGATACACTGCGCAACGCTACACTGCGCAACGATACACTGCGCAACGATACACTGCGCAACGATACACTGCACAACGATACACTGCGCAACGATACACAGCGCAACAATACACAGAGCGACGATACACAGCGCACGATACAAAGCGCAACAATACACTGCGCAACGCTACACTGCGCAACGATACACATCGCAACGATACACAGCGCAACGATACACAGCGCAACGATACACTGCGCAATGATACACATCGCAACGATACACAGCGCAATGATACACAGCGCAACGATACACAGCGCAACGACACACAGCGTAACGATACGCTGCGCAACGATACACAGCGCAACGGTACATAGCGCAACGGTACACAGCGCAACGATACACAGCGCAACGATACACAGCGCAACGATACACAACGCAACGATACACAGCGCAACGATACACAGCGCAACGATACACAGCGCAACGATACACAGCGCAACGATACACAGCGCAACGATACACAGCGCAATGATACACAGCGCAACGATACACAGCGCGAAGATGCACAAAGCAACGATGCGCTCCCCAAGCGACAAGGTACAAGCACATACGCGGCACGTCCGTAAAGGCAGCCTCACGGCACTTAGCTCTCACACCGACGCAGCCCCTCTAGGCATCGCGTGCTGTCAGGTCCGTAGTGCGCCTTGCGTGGGGGAATGAGCTCTCTTGCGCTCGCTGTCATGCCAGTGGGAATGCCCGCCCACCTCAGCTTCAGCAACGTCGCTACGCGTGAAACGCCGCTGCGTGCTCGTCGTACCAACTGCCACCACAGGAGGCCATGGCAAGCACGCAGCCGAGCCGCGCTACTACGATCATCCGCTTTTGCATCCATGAGCCAAACTAAACCACGGGTTTGGCCCCACCATATGCCACGCCATCAGGTCTCGGTGACTCAAGGAGCCTACAGCCACCTGACCGCGTGAAGCCACGGCACCCAGTCGCGCCTTAGCACTAGACGCGCGCGCGGCCTGTAATGCGAGTAACACCGCTCGTACTTCTAGGCGAAAGCGCGGAGAGCATGCAGGGAGCGCATTCTCAAGAAAATGCACGCGGTGCAAGTGCGACTCACCGTCGCCTGAGCGGATGGCGGCGCGATATGGTGAAACGGGGGCGTGGCTTTCGGAATGAGCGTGACATATCGAAATGGCCGTGACAACTCGAAAATGGTGGCGAGACAAGGCGAACTCTTAGGATCGTAAGCACCTTAGTCGGCAATAGTCTACTTGCTATCGCCTATCGTGTTCTCCAAGATCTCCCGAATCCAATGATATGCGCAGCTTTGCTTGAAGTTGTCAATCAGCAATTTTCAGAATCTGATTGGTATGATTTCCAAAATGAGTACAAGCAGTTTTATAGTCAGGCAAGACACAAAATGCGATTCGTAACTTCACTTGTTTCCCAAGTAACCGTGTGCGCCTCGTCTCACCCCGAGTCGCACACACAACCAAACCGAATTCGATGAACACTCCTCAAGACCGAATCTAAAACCTTCTCGAATGCGCCTTGGTCTCGAAGTACATTTTTCCCCTCGTCAATCTCATTCTCGTTGCTTCTCACAAAATCTGATTGGTCTCACAGCTTCAGCTTACTCGGCAATCAGAGTCTTGTTGAACTTCAGTCAGGGACTGAGAGAGCGTATAACCGGCCGTTTCCGTTCCAGTGAAACCGACAGATCTGAATTAGCACGTTTCTACTTCAACTGGAAACTAGCAACTTGATTTGAATCCTGCATCTCCCGTCATGGGTTTTTGGCGAGATCAATTTCGGCGAGTCCGCAAGATGCGTCGCGTCACGAATGACTCGTCCATTTGGTACCAATAGCTTTGGAATCTAAGACGAACGGAGCACAGGTAGGTGTCTCTTACTGATGCTCCTGAGGAACTTCTGTTTTCGGTTTGCAACCGACTGTTTCAGTCCCACCTGCACTACTGCTGCCTGCCATGCGAGACGTCAGCAGCATTTAGGCCATGATGAAGCGGCAGAGCAAACTTTCACAAATTTGGAGCAACAAGCTCGTTCGTGACTCTTGAGCAGCAAGTTTGCCATTTTCTGGCTTGATAATTGAGCAAATCAAGCTCATTGCAGGTACAACCAGCAACGAGTCCGCACTGGAAAAAGTGCATGGGTAAGGGCGAGACGAAATCTGATCCGTTCAGGGAAGCTCCTGGTGTTGAATCAACTACTGGTGTGCGTCGTCCTTCGTTCCCTCTCACTTCGTTTGTTGGTTATTTCACTCAACTGGATTCCATCATGCCTAGTACCAAGGAAGACGAGAGGCACAAGCCAATGAGAGGAGCCTCGACACGAACTGGCGGAGCAGAGCTGAATTCCAGTGATTCTGATGCTGGCAGTAGCAAGGCCAAGGAAGAGGGGAAGGTAGGCGCTGCCAAACATGAGCAGCGGTAACAGCTTCAAAATTTGGAAGAGTGGTTGGTTGCCTTGCTGGGGCCAGGACAGTACCAGCAGGGTGGACAAGGTCAATTCACTGCCGCAAACAGAGGGGAAGCAGAGAAGGCGGTAGAGGAAGAAGACAAGAGTATGACGCGAAAGAAGCACGCTTGTTGCGGTTCACTGTGAAATTGGGGATGAGAAATCCTGGGGTGTTGCAAAGCGCACACGGTATGCAGTTTAGAATGACCCGGATGGAGCGGGACAGCCCACCGGGGCAACCGGAGGAGCAGCATGGAAAGCTAGTGGAGGAACGTTCAAAGCCACTTAAGCTGGTGTCTAGGCTGGACATGGTTCACTACTTGAACGTGACGGGCGGGTGGGATGAGGATCTGCGTGAATGCTGCTTTGAGCGTGCAGTGAGCCAGCGAGCTCTTGCCATAAACAACCTGGAGGACTTGCGTCGCCACCTGCGCGTGCAGAAGCCTCGTTGCATCCCCGCAGCAGACCCCAAGCAGCAGCAGGATCATGCAATATCTCCTTAGGTGCTATTTGTGTGGAAGCCCGAGAGGGCGCCTCGCCTTTGTGCAGAACGGATGTTTCTCGAGTGGATGGCTGAGCCTTGTGTGGGTGTGCTCATGAACCTGCAGAAGATCAGATCTCGTCTGCCTGCTATCCTGGATGCAACAGCTGCTCCAGCTGCCCCTGTTGCTGCCCCTGTTGCTGCCCTTGCTGCTGCCCCTGCTCTTCCTGCTGCTCCTCCTGCCCCTGCTGCTGCCCCTGCTGTTCCTGCTGCTCCTCCTGCCCCTGCTGCTGCCCGTGCTGTTCCTGCTGCTCCTCGTGCTCCTGCTGCTTCTCCAGTGTGGTCCTGCTGTTGGCGCTGCAGCGGCTGCTGGGCTGCCTACCGCCGTGCTGTCAATGTCTCAACGTTCCTTGTGCTTGTAGCGAGATCCCCTCACCTTGTGACTCTGTGGAAAGCTCACTTGGTCTCGTCTTCGTCTGCTTGGCCAGAAATTGTCACTGAGCTGGGGGGGAGCAGGCAGGGGGAGATTGACAATTTTGCGTCCATGCTGGTGCAGGTGCTGGGGATGAAGGAGAGTGCTGATCTAAAGGAAAGGGTTTGGGTTCTTTGTGCAGCAACTGCTGTCAGGCGGGCTGGAGATGGCGCATGCACAAGGGAGGGGGAGAGGTGGGGGCAAGGCTGCTGAGAAGGTGCATGGGAAGGGGAAGGGGATGAGGTTGGCTGAGGAGAAGGCTGTCGAGAAGACGTATGGGGGGGCGAAGGGCATGTGCGAGGCTTCACATAGGAGGGAGGATGGGAGACACGGAGAGGAAGAGGCAGGGAGCAAGGTAGAGATGGATGGGGTTGTTGGCGTGTGGGGGAGGGCACGAAAGGACGTGAAGTGGAGGGCGCATCTGAAGGGACGTGTGTGGGAGAGGTATGTGGATGGCATGAAGTGGATTCTGGAACATGGTGGGGGGGAAGGGAGGGAGTTCTGGTGCAGCCATTGCAGTGAGGACAGCAGCAGCAGCAGCAGCATCAGCAGTTCTGGTAGTAGCAGTTGGAGAAGCAGTGCTCTGAAGGGTATGCATGTGAGTGGTGTAAATGCCACCGATTTTGCCCTTGCTGTCACCACAATGTTATTTAAACCAGAGCACTGGATGGATGCATGGTTGTTCTTCCATGATGGGAACAATTTGAACAAGATGAAGGTAGAAAATGCAGTTGTTGAGGTGGCCAGCAAGAGGCTGCTGCATTGCTTCAAGCAAACAAAGGGGATGGATGGAGAAGAAGGGGCAGATGTAGGAGCGGCCCTGCCTGGTGCAAACTCTAGACTTGTGTCTGTCAATACAAAGCCGGTGGTTGCTGCACTCACCTATCGAGTTGGTTGCATCTTGCAGTGGATCCGGGTCTACGGCTCAGATTCCATCTCAGAGAAACAGTGCTTCATAAACGACCCTCAGAGCAAGGTCAGGTCGATGCGCCATCCGCTTCGGGGCCTTCCTAGCCTTCTGGTCAGGTTCGACGCCATCCCGAAGCCTCTAGAGGGAAGCAGCATTGCTTTGGAGTGGGAGGAGTGGCCTGCAGGCGAGGAAGCTGCTGTGAAGTTTCTTGTGAACCAAAAGGAGAGGTGAAGCAGCTGAGAAGCTGATTGGGCATCTTGTAGAAGGCCAAGGAGGTAGTCAGGAAGGAGAATGGAGCATGACGCGTGGGATAGCTGAAGCAGGAGGGGGCAGTAGGAGTGCAAGGAGGAGAGTTTCCAAGTCAATAGAGCGAGGAGCTTGGGAGGAATCCATACAGAGCAGAGCGCGTGGAAGAGCCAAAGCATCTGGGAACGACGAGCAGAGAGTAACACTTCCACCCCCAAGAAGGAAGCTTCCTATTGTTCGCTGCGAGGCAGATGTGGACTTCCTGGTGGGGTTTGCCGGGTATGTCATGCACCCTCCTGCATGCACCCAGTGCAGCACCTGCTCTGCGGAATTCATGCAATCCGTGTGCATAGTCGCTCTCATTGTCAACTTCGCTTACCGCCCCGTTAGCCATCTGCTCTCCCGTGTGCTCTCCGTCTTCCCTCCCTCCTCCCCTGGCTTCGACAAGCTGGTTGAGTGTCTGGACCTCCCTGCACGCCTGCCCAGGCCTGTGAACCTGCAGATGCTGCTGAGACGAGCGGAGCAGGTGCCTCTGTACTTCCTCATTCACATGGCCGTGTGGTGCGCTCGTCCTTTTCTGAATCTTGATTGTTCTGAGGGAGGGTACAATGAGAAAGGGCAGGGAGTGAAGTCAGGTGCACGAAAGAAAGATGTGGCGGAAATGGGAAAAGGTGGCAGGGTGAAATTGCAAGGCTGTTGGGATGGTGAGATGGATCAGCCAAATGGTGGAGAGGTGTGGGAAGAGGTGGAAATATGGTACTTTGCAACAATGAAGAAATGGATGTCGAAGCTGAGGGTTGAGGAAGGGAGTGAGGAGTGCAGCGGCAGCAGAGAGCTGGAGAGGCCTACAGGGGGGTTCGACATCACGTGGGCTCTTGCAGCGGCAATCATCCCGAGATGCTGTGAGGGGTTGCAGGGCCAGCAAAGGTCTGCCATGGGGAGCAGCAACAAGGGTAGCAGCAGCAGCGGCGGCTGTGAGAAGAAGGGCAAAATGGGGAGGAGCCGGGGTATCTGAAGGCGTGGCCGGGGGGAGTGAATCTGGTGGCATGTCTGCGAGAGATGCTGCTGGGGGAGCCGTGCTACTGCTCTGCCTCCCCTGCTGCCCCTGCCTCCCCTGCTGCCCCTTCCGTCCATCCTGCTTCCACCCATCCTGCTGCCTCCACCCATCCTGCTGCTTCCACCCATTCTGCAATTAGCATCCGTGCTGCATATGCTGCTACCGCTGCTACTGCTTCAGGTGTCCACGGCTGTGTGTGCGGTGCTGCGGGATGTGGGATGGTGGAGGGTGGCGGAGTGAAGATGAGGAGGTGCGGTGGGTGTGGCAAGGTGGTGTATTGCAGCAGAGATTGCCAAAAGGTGTACTGGCCCTCCCACAAGCTCACATGCCCCGGCAGAACCAGTGGGAAGAAGAGTGGGAAGGATGGGAGCGGGGTTGGGAGCAACGATGGTCGCATGAAAATCGGCAAGGAGAGTGATTGTGAGGGTTGCGGTGAGAGTGGTGGTAAGGAAATATGCGGGCGGGTTTAAAAGATGATTGGCGAGGTAAGTTGCATAGGCAGGTGCAAGGACAGTGCTAGGCATGTGTGTGAAAGGGTCAGTGAGGAAAGCTTGAAAAATAAGGAAGAGCTAAGGAAGGTGGAGGCGGAGAGGAGGGGAGGGAAGTGTTGGGCTGAGTGCCCCTTAGGATCTTTGGTAGGGCTAAACTCTGGGTAGAGTGATGTAATAGCGGAAGCGTTTCAATGAAGTCCTTGAACCACCTTGCGCTGGTATGTGAGGGCAAAGTAAGTTTAATTAAAACAAGTAAGTACAAAGGTTTATATAAGAGTACAAGGAATACGAAGAGATATAATTCAAACTGTTTTACTGTTTGCTGTTGCGGTTCGATACAGTGCGACTCGGGCAATTGCTCAATATCGAGTCAACTGTGTGTCCTTGCTGTCGCGCTGCATTTGTCAGGTCAAAGGTCAGCGACCTTTGACTTTCGCGTAACCTCTGACGGTTGTTTCAACCTCCAAGGGTTGACTCGCTGATGCCTCGATATGGTTTGCTTCGTTTGTGTCTTGGTGTTTCGACACGATAGGAGCGCTCAAGACTGATTGTTTCCAACACTCCCCTTCGCTTCTGGAGTGTCGCTGACGTGGCTCTGTCCAATCAGCAGCATGCAACATTCAAAATTCTGCTTTCCGAGCTTCTTGGTCAAATAATCGGCTGCCATCTCGGACGTGGGACAGTAGGATAATTCAAGTCTCCCCTTCTCGATCTCGTCTTTCACGAAGAAATACCGAAGGGCGATGTGCTCCGTTCTGTTCGCGAATCCGTTTTTGTTGGCGATGCGAATTGCAGATTGGTTGTCGCAGAACAGGGTGAAGCTGGGTAACTGAGCCAGCTTCGCTTCTTCCAGTAGTTCGCGAAGGTAGAGTCCCTCCTTGGTGGCTGAGTAGAGTGCAATATATTCTGCTTCAGCTGACGAGAGAGCGATAAATTCCTGCTTGCTCGACTGCCAGGAGATACGTCCGATGGGTTCGAGACGGTAGATGTAGCCAGTGCGGGAGCGTCTATTGTCGGGATCACTGGCGTTATCGGCTTCGACGTAGCCGATTAACTTAGGCGGTGTAGTTGCGTTCTTGTAGTAAGTTAGGCCGATCGTTGGCGTACTGGCGAGGTAGTGAAGAGCGCGGTCAAGCTCCGCTAGATGTTCGACTTCGGGCTTCTTGAGATAGGTGGCGAGCTGACTTGCAGAGTATGATAGGTCCGGGCGACAAGTGACAGCTGCAAATAGAAGGCATCCCAATTTCCTCTGGTAGTCACGTATGCCGGCGGGCCTGAGTAGAGTAGAGCCTTTGTTTTCTGCCGTGTAGCGGTATGGCGTGGAGATGGTAGTTGGTGTGAGAGCAATGCGTTTGGCGATGGTGTCGGCATATTTGGCGGCATTGAGGTAGATCGCTCCTTCTTCCTCCCGAATGTTCAAGCCGAGGTACTGTGTGACGGTGGAGGAAACCGTGAGTGTGAGGTCCCTCTATAGCTCCCCTTTGAACAAGGTGGTGATGCCGTCGGTTGAACCGATGTAGAGTAAATCGCCTACGTAAACGATCAGAAGAATGTAGTCGGTGTCCTTAGTAAGTCGATACATTCCCTGATCGTGCGGTAGTTGTTTGAAACCGTTGCGAGTGAGGCGAGCGTGCAAGTACTGTTGCCATAGTCGCGGAGCTTGTTTGATCCCGTAGAGCGACTTCAGTAGCTGACAGACTTGGTTGGGTTCCCCGTTGGTACCGTGCGGAATTTCCACGAAAATTTCTGCGTCAACGGGTGCGTAGAGAAATGTGTTCGCGACATCGATTTGCCGTAGTTTCTTTTTCTTCATGGCGGCGACTGCGAGAAGGATTCGAAGCGAGGTGTGTCGGCTAACTGGGGCGATATCTCAGTGAAGTCCCGTCCATGCTCTTGATCGAATCCACGCACGACCCAGCGTGCTTTGAACTTCTCAATTGTGCCATCTGCTTTCGTTTTGACGCGGAAGATGTCAGAACATTATAGCTTATATTGTTGTGTAGGCTATAGTGGGGTATCCCATAGGGGGTACAACCCAATTAGGGTTTCCTATATGTACTCACTTCATTCATAGTTGATCCATTCTCATTCAATTCTTATCATGGTATCAGAGCAGGTTCCCCTGTGGGAACTGCGCCTAGGGCCCACCACTACGATTTTTTTTACTGCCCGAGAACGCACTCATCCCGAGTCGCGCCTCAGGCTATTCACTCACCGAGCCGCCCTAGCGGCCTTCTCTCCCCAAGCGGCCCTGCAGCCCTACGCTTCGCGGCTCTGCCGCCCTGCTATCGCGGCCCTGCCGCCCTTCCTTAGCGGCCCCGCCGCCCCTCCTTCGCGGCCCTGCCGCCCTGCTACCGCGGCCCCGCCGCTCTTCCTTCGCGGCCCCGCCGCCCTGCTCACGCGGCCCCGTCGCCCTCTGCTAAGCGGCCCCGCCGCCCTGCTACAGCGGCCCCGCCGCCCTGCACTTCGCGGCCCCGCCACTCGACTTCAGCGGCCCCGCCGCCCTGCTATCGCGGCCCCGCCGCCTTTCCTTCACGGCCCCGCCGCCCTGCTCACGCGGCCCCGCCGCCCTCTACTAAGCGGCCCCACCGCCCTCTGCTAAGCAGCCCCGCCGCCCTGCTATCGCGGCCCCGCCGCCCTGCACTTCGCGGCCCCGCCGCCCTTCCTTAACGGCCCCGCTGCCATTCCTTCGCGGCCCCGCCGCCCTGCTAACGCGGCACCGCCGCCCTCTGCTAAGCGGCCCCGCCGCCCTCTGCTAAGCAGCCCCGCCGCCTTGCTTCAGCGGCCCCGCCGCCCTGCACTTCACGGCCCCGCCGCCCTGCTCAGCGGCTCCGCCGCCCTTCCTTAGCGGCCCCGCCGCCCTGCTTGAACGGCCCCGGCACCTCCCTTAGCGGCCCTGCCGCTCTCCTCTCCTACCGCGCCACCCGAGCCGCCGCCCACTGCACCACCCTGCAGCGTGCACCTGAGCAGTCGACAGCCGCGCCGCCGAGTACCAGAGGAGCCGAGCCGCCTAGCCGCTGTGCAGCCGAGCCGCCCAGCAGCCGTGCCGCCCAGCAGCCGAGCCGCCGAGCCGCCAAGCCGCCGAACCGCAGTACTGCCGAGCTGCCCAGCAGCCTGCCGCCGAGCCGCCCAGCCGCGAGCCGTTGAGCCGCCCTGCCGCCGAGCCGCCGAGCCGCCCAGCCGCCGAGCCGCCCCGCAGCCGAGCCGCCCTACTGCCGAGCCGCCCGACCTGCCCTGTCTGGTGAGCACAGCCCCACTGCTACTGCGTGCCCTTCCCCCACTGCTTGCACCGCTAGTCTGTCGTCATGGCTACCCCTAGTGTCCTCGCTTTTGACGCTGAGGGTCGAGCCATTGACTTTGAGGTCTGGGTCGACGACCTGCAGCTGTTTTTACAGTGCGATAGGGCGGACGGTCTTTCTCTCTTTGACCTCACCTCTGGCGCCTCTCCTGCCCCTGCTGCTGATGCTGACCCCACTGTTCGCTCTCAGTGGGCCACCCGCGATGCTACTGCACGTCTTGCTGTGCGTCGCCACCTCCCTACCACTGAGCGCGCTCACTTTAGTCAGTACAAGAGTGCTCAGACCTTGTACGACGCTGTAGTTGCGCGCTACTCTTCCCCTGCCACTGCTGCACTGAGCCGCCTCATGCTACCGTATCTCTTTCCTGACCTTGCTTCCTTTCCCACAGTCGCTGACCTCATCACGCACCTCCGCACTAGTGACACTCGCTACCGCGCCGCGCTCGGGCGGTGGAGGTGGCGGTGGAGCGGGCGGAGGGAGTGGGGGTGGCGGTGGGAGTGGTGGCGGGGGTGGCGGTGGTGGTGGCACCAGCGGAGGCGGAGGCGGTGGCGGCGGCGGTGGTGGCGGAGGCGGAGGCGGTGGTGGTGGCGGAGGTGGAGGCGGTGGTGGCGGAGGGGGTGGAGCTGGTCGGGGTGGTGCCCCGCAGCGGAGCGGCTCTGGTGGTGGTCAGCGCCAGCAGCAGCAGCAACAGAAGCAGCGTTCTCGTGACATCCCCCCGCCTCAGCAGCTGTATGAGTGGTACACGCAGCGTCAGCGTGGTGGGGGCTTTGGTCCATGCATCTATGTCCTCCGTTCCGGCGACCGCGCGGGTGAGCAGTGTGGGGGTGCCCACTCCACTCAGCGCTGCTTTGGCCGCCTGACGGACGCTTGGCGTCAGCCGTTCCCCGAGGCTAGTGAGATTCTCCGCTAGGGAGAGCTGTCTAGGGCTCGCGTAGCTATCTTTGATCTTGACTTTGATGCTATCCTTGCTGCTATGTATGCTGTGACTATTAGTGATGAGGGTGACTGTTACCGGTGTTTCCCGCCCGACCCGGGCATTGGTACTGCTGCGCTAGGTGCTTGTGAGGCTGCTGCTCTAGGTGCCAGTGCGTCTGCGCTCTCAGGTACTGGTGAGGCTACGCTCTCAGGTACTGCGTCGGCATCGGCCTCCCTCACCTTCACACTTGACTTCGGGGCTTCTCGCTCCTTCTTTCGAGACCGCACCACACTCACGCCGCTTGGTCAGCCGATTGCAGTCTCCCTAGCGGACCCCTCTGGGGGTCCTGTCCTCTCTCACTTCTCCACTGTCCTCCCGTGTCCGGCTGCCCCCTCGGGCACTCTGTCTGGTCTGTACCTCCCCTCGTTCTCGACGAACTTGGAGAGTGGTGCTGACCTACAGGATGCGGGGGCTCACCAGTTTACTCCTGCGAGTCAGCGGGTCACCCACTGCTCGGACGCCCGCACAGGCCGACACCTGGCCACGTTCTCGCGTCGGCCAAGGTCGAGCCTCTACACTCTGACCACTGAGTCTCCTCCTGTCCCTGCGTCTGGCCAGATAGCTGCGTCGGGTCAGGTGTTTGCTGCTGCGTCCCGGTCTGGTCCTGAGTCTGCCCCCTGTTCGTCTCGCCTCCTGTCTCACGAGACTCTCGTGTGGCACCACCGTCTGGGCCACCCCTCCTTGCCGCGTCTTCGAGGCATGGCTTCCCGTGTTCTTGTCTCTGGTCTTTCTCAGTCTCTCCCTCCCCTTCCTTAAGGGCCAGGACCTTCCTGTGTCCCCTGTGTAGAGGGCGGCTGCGGGCTGCGCCTCACTCCTCCCAGTTTCCCCCGACAGAGGCTCCTCACCAGACGCTTCACATGGACGTGTGGGGCCCGGCCCGCGTCCGTCGTCAGGGTCACGAGCACTACTTCCTGCTGGTGGTTGACGAGTACTCGCGTTACATCATGGTCTTCCCCTTACGCAGCAAGGGTGATGTCACTGAGGTGTTGATCGACTGGATCCGCGCAGCTCGTCTCCAGCTCAGGAGGAGCTTCGGCTCGGACTTTCCTGTTCTGCGTCTGCACTCTGACCGAGGTGGAGAGTTCTCCTCTGGCCTTCTGCGAGCCTACTGTCGTGCACGAGGCATCCGCCAGACCTCTACGCTTCCGGATTCTCCGCAGCAGAATGGGATTGCTGAGCGCCGCATCGGCATGGTCATGGACGTCGCTCGTACGTCCACGATGCATGCGGCTGCCCCCCATTTCCTGTGGCCGTTTGCGGTTCGGTACGCGGCGCATCAGCTCAACCTTCACCCCAGGGTCTCCCGGCCGGAGACCTCCCCAGCCTTGCTGTGGACGGGGAAGGTCGTCGATGCGTCTGCGTTCCGGGTCTGGGGATCTCGGGCGTTTGTCTGCGACTTGTCTGCGGACAAGCTATCCCTTCGTGCTGCTCCTTGTGTCTTCCTTGGCTTCCCCCCTGACGCGCCAGGGTGGCAGTTCTACCACCCAGCCTCTCGTCGTGTTCTGTCCTCCCAGGACGTCACGTTCGACGAGTCCGTCCCCTTCTACCGCCTCTTCCCCTACCGCACTCCGTCCCTCCCCCCGCCTCCGCACTTCTTGGTACCAGGTCCCCCCCCGGTAGACCCCCTACCCACTCAGGGTCCTGCCCCTTCAGGTGTGTCCCAGGTCGACGCGGTCGAGCAGATCGAGGTTGCTGGTGACTCTGGTACTGCTGCGGGTGCTGCGTTTGGGGGTGCTGGGTCTGGGGGTGCTGCGATTGGGGGTGCTGAGCCTGGAGGTGCTACGCCTGGGGGTGCTGAGCCTGGGAGTCCTGCGTTTGGAGGTGCTAAGTATGGAGCTGCTTCGCCTGGGGGTGCTGCGTCTGGAGCTGCTGAGCCTGGGGGTGCTGAGTCTGGAGCTGCTGAGCCTGGGGGTGCGGAGCCCGCGGCCGCTGGACCTGCTTGTGTGCCGTCTGGCGGTGCAAGGCCTGGTGGTTCTCTCGGTGCTTCGTCTCGGCGGGAGCCACTCTCTCCACAGGAGCTGTGCGAGTGGTTTGCCCGGCGCTGGAGGTGTACTGCTGGATCTGGAGTTTCTTTGGCCGCTAAGGGTGCTGGAGCTGTTGTACCTGCAGGTACGACTGGTGCTAGTCCTGCGGAGGGTGTTGGCACGGAGGCTACTGCTGTTGGTTCTGCCGGCAGTTCTGCTGCGGAAACTGCTGATGCTGGTGGTGCTGGTGTTGCCGCTGAGGGTGCTGGTGCTATCCCTACTGTGTCTAGAGTTGCCGCGCGGCCTCGGCTGTACTTCGTTCCGCTCCTTCAGCAGGTTCTTGGTCTTCCTCCTCCCTTAGAGTGTCCACCGCCTGTCCAGTCACAGTCACAGTTACCGCCAACCTCCCCTCTCCCTGCTCCTTCTCCCTACACTGGTCCTACTGGAGGTCTTGCTGAGCGTCGTGAGCCTGCGTCTCGTCCCACGTCGCCTGTTCGTGCTGCTCGCGCTAGTGGTCGCGGTTCACGTCAGCGTCCTCCTCCTGTCCCTCGCACGCACCGGATGTCTCTGCGTCCGTCCACTGCTCCCCTGCGTGCCCTTTTGCCTTCCCCTCCTGCGTCCTCTCTTCCTGCGCTTGCCGACCCAGAGTCGGACTCTCTTCGCGCTGCCAGTCCTACTGTCACGCGTCTTCTTGCTACTGTCGTCACTGACCCCTCTTTTGAGTCCTCTGCTGCGTTTGCTGTGGCTGCTGAGCTCGTCGACTTTGCTGCTCGCTGTCGCCTAGACTACGCTGCTAGTCTTGTTGCTGAGTTTGCGTCTGTCGGTCCTCCGTCCGTCGGGGGTGAGTGTGCTCGGCACGGACGTCCTTGAGAACAGGCAGGAGGAGTTCTAGTGTCTGGCTGCTGCTTCACCTCATCTCGCGTCTGTACTGCTTGCCCCTGAGGGAGACCCGGATGCACTTGACATCCCGACTCCGCGCTCTTACGCGGAGGCCGTAGAGGGTCCCTATTCCTCTCAGTGGCAGGCAGCTATGGATGCTGAGATGGCTTCCTAGAAGTCCACAGGCACCTACGTTGACGCGGTTCCCCCTCCTGGGGCGAACATCGTCAGTGGCATGTGGATCTTAAGGGCGAAGCAGCCGCCGGGCTCTCCACCTGTCTTCAAGGCGCGGTACGTAGCTCGTGGCTTCACTCAGCGGCAGGGAGTTGACTACTTTCAGACCTTCTCTCCCACCCCGAAGATGACCACTCTTCGGGTGCTACTGCACATAGCCGCGTAGCGTGACTAAGAGCTTCACTCTCTTGACTTCAGCACTGCTTTCCTGCAAGGTAGCCTAAACGAGGAGATCTGGCTGTGCCGTCCACCTGGCTTCAATGGGACTTTCGCTCCTGGCACCAAGTGGAGCCTCCGACGGCCAATCTACGGTCTCCGCCAGGCACCACGCGAGTGGCACGACACACTAAGGACTATGCTTGCGGCTCTCGGGTTTGCTCCCTCTACTGCCAACCCGTCGTTGTTTCAGCGCATTGACACCTCTTTGCCACCATTCTACATCCTCGTGTACGTTGACGACTTGGTCTTTGCCACTGCTGACACTGCTGGACTCGCCCATGTGAAGTCCGAGCAATAGAAGAGACACACGTGCACAGACCTGGGTGAACTGCGCAGCTACCTTGGCTTGCAGATCACTCGGGACAGAGCACGTCGCACCATTACCCTGACTCAGTCACACATGGTGCAGCACGTCCTTCAACACTTCGGCTTCACGTACTCCTCGCCTCAGGCCACTCCTCTGCCTACTCGCCACTCGCTCTCAGCTCTGCCTTCGGATGAGTCCGTAGAGTCCAGTGGCCCGTACCCAGAGCTTGTTGGCTGCCTCATGTACCTGATGACCTGCACACGACCTGACCTGGCATACCCTCTTAGCATTCTTGCATGCTATGTTGCTCCTGGGAGACACACACCAGAGCACATGGCTGCAGCGAAGAGGGTGTTGTGCTACTTGTGCAGCACGTCGGGCATGGGGCTAGTGCTTGGAGGGCGGAGTCCAGTGGTCCTCACTAGTCACGCAGACGCTTCTTGGGCTGACGACCAGGCTACGCAGCGGTCGTCACAGGGCTACACCTTTCGTCTTGGTTCCGGCTCTGTTTCGTGGCGGGCTACTCGCTCGTCTTGTGTTCTCGGCTCCAGTTGTGAGGCTGAGATCTACGCCGGGGCCATGGCTGCACAGGAGCTTCGCTGGCTCACCTACCTACTCAGTGACCTCGGAGAGCCGCCTCGTTCTCCTCCAGTGCTGTACGTAGACAACAAGGCCATGTTGGCCTTGTGTCGGGAGCAGCGCCTGGAGCACAGAACGAAGCACATTGCTCTTCGCTACTTTCTCGCTCATGAGCTGCAGTAGCGTGGATAGTTGCGACTTGCGTACGTGGCCTCTGAGGCCAACACTGCTGATGTTTTCACCAAGGCTCTTCCGCCTTGTGATCATCAGCGCTTCTGCACTCAACTGAGCCTTGTGCATGTTTTGCCTCACTTGCTCTCTTCTTGACCTCACTTGTACTCTTCCATACATATATACCTGCTTTTGCTTGTTTAATCTTATATATATGTGTGTTCTCTTGCATGTGAACTAGCCTTGTGGCCTTGACCTTGTGCTCGGACTGTGTGGTGACTTTGTGATCCACCCTGAGCTTGCTTTGCTTTGCTTTACTTGACTGGTCTTGTGACCCCTTGCTCTCCCCCACTTTGCCTATGGGGGTGTGTCAGAACATTATAGCTTATGTTGTTGTGTAGGCTATAGTAGGGTATCCCATAGGGGGTACAACCCAATTAGGGTTTCCTATATGTACTCACTTCATTCATAGTTGATCCATTCTCATTCAATTCTTCTCAGAAGACCCATTTCCCGGTGAGAATGGTCTTGTTCCTTGCCACGCTTATGGGAACAACTTTCCAGGTGTTCCGCTCCTCCAGCGCCTTTAACTCTTTCTCCATGGCTTCACGCCATTTCTCCCGGTGTTCCCCCCCCAGAGCCTGCTGAACTGTCGCAGGCTCCTTAGGAAGAGTGGTGCCGTGGACTGCGGTGATGAGTCCGAGAATCTGCAGTCCACTCTGTGAGTAGCGGGGAAGATTTGCGTCCTCGGGATAAGCTGCTTCATCTCCCGCTTCTGGATCAGGTATGAAATTCGGTCCTTCTCGTTCTGCTTCGTTGGTGTTGATTGTCGCATGTGTTACGTAACCGTTGTCGGCGAAGTAGTAGAAGGTTTCGGCATTGACACTTTTGCGAGGGTTGTCTTTGTCCATGGGAACGTCAACGGAGCAGAACGGAAGGGGTCCAGCTTCTCTTGAAGCGCTGTCCACATTTTGCTCGTCCCAGTCAGCTTCCTCTGTTGCCAAGGCAAAGGCTTGGTCACCACAAAAACCACCTGTGGGATCTTGGTCCTCTTGAAGGTTGGCAAGGTATGTCCGGAGCGTGAGTCGTTCGTAGAAAATGACGTCACGTGCTGCTAGTGTTTCCTTCGAGTGGATGTTGAAGATTTTCCATGCGTTGTAGTTCTTTTCGATGCCCAGGTGTAGTCCCCACTGTGCGCGTTGTGAAAATCGGCCCGCTCGTGTTGCTGGGGGTCGGTACTGTACCATGCATCCGAACACTCGTAACATTTTTGTGCTGCCCTGCTTTCCTGTCCACAGTAGATGCGGTGATGCGTTGTTCGGAAGCGATGATGACGAGAGCAAGTTGTGCAGCATGACAGCGTGGTCCATCGCCTCAGGCCACTGGTGGGTGGGTAGCCGCATGCCACGTAACAGCTTGCGCATGCTGTTCTGCAGGGTCCTGTTCATTCTTTCTGCTACACCTTGCTGCTGGTGGGCGTAGGGAAGGGAGATGAGCCGCTTGATTCCCCTTTCCACCAGGTACTGCTTGAATTGCTGATAGGTGTATTCTCCTCCTCCGTCTGACTGGAAGCTTTTCAATTTCACGCCTGATTCTCTCTCTGCTACTGGTAGCCAAGCGAAAAAGGCTTCGAAGGCCATGTCGCGGCTGGGTAGGTTAAGATGCTAGACGTAACATGGTGCTGCGTCGATGAACGTGATGGTGTAATTGTATGCGTTCTGCCCTGGCTCGCGATTGTACAGGATGTCGCTGTACACCTTTTCGAGTGGCGCGTAAGCTGGTGCACTTAGGTTATGGTCAGACACGAACGGTTGATGCGGTAAGTCAGCTTCAGGGCAGGTAAGGCAAATTCCTCATGCCCGTTGAAGTTCTCTGCCATCGAGTAGTAGTAACAAGTCTTTGTCAATGACCCATGCTCTTATTGTGTTGTTTAATACTGTGTTGCTTGGGTGTCCCATGCGTGCATGCCAAATGTCTTCAGAGGCACGATGTCCGGGTGAGCGTCGGTACGCGTCGGAGTTGGAGTAGAAACCGGCGGTGAAGTTTGCGCTTTTGTGGACTTCTCGTTGAGCCGGATTCAATTGCTGCGCAGGTGTTGGTGGTGTTTCATCAACGAGGACTGGTGTCGTTGTTGTTGCTGCTGTTGTTGTTCCTGCAGCTGCAGATGATGTCTCTGCTGCTGCCGACGTTATCTCTGCTGCTACCGATGTTGTCTCTGCTGCTGCCGAAGATGTTTCTGCTGCTGCCGAATGTTGAATTGTTACTAACGCACGTGTTCGTTCTGCTTCATGAATGGTATGTGAATACCAGAAGCCTTCCGGACTGAAGTCAAGGTCGAGATCCGGCGGGTGCGTCCAAGATGTGAAGGTGACGATCCCGTCTCTGTCCGCGGTGCCAAAGTCTGGGACAAAATCAAGAACGAAGACATTGTTCTTCAAGATCGCCTTTCCGAAGTAGAGGCCGCCCTTCTCGTGGTGCTGTCGGCTTTGAGATGTATGCCCTTCGCCATCAGCTGACTGACACTCATTAGGTTGTAACCAAGTCCTTCTGCTAGTAGGACCTTTGACATTTGCAGTATGACGTTTGTCTCTCGTGACTGAAGTTGCACCACACCTTGTCGTCGTGTATGCAGGTTCTGATTATTGGCGACAGTGATGACGAATTCTCGTTGAAGTTGGTGCTCGCGTTGAACGAAGCGTCCTGAAGAGCACATATGTTGTCCGCAGCAACTGTCCAAGAACCATGTATCTTTCCCGGACGACTCACTTTGAGCGATGGCGACGTACGTCGGGTTCGGTTGAAGGGACTCGCGGCGAGGCGTGCTGTTGTCGAGGTGCTCTTCTGGTGAGTAGTATGGTGGTGACTCAGTTACGCAGGAGTCAGTTAGCTTCGCCATGCAACTGACGATGTTTCTTGTTCCTTTTCGCAGGTTGTCCCGTCGATGTTGTAGAGACTTGCACTGAAGTTGTCAGATTTGCTTGCGTTGAGGCGACTTGACTGCTTGAAGGACGGAGCTCGCGTTGAGGCTGAGAAGAAACAAGGAATGAATGAACTATGAATGAATTGGGTACAAGTACTAACCCTAATTGGTTTGTACCCCTTATGGGCTACCCCACTATAGCCTACACAATATGCATAAGCTACAATGTTCTGACACAACCCCATAGGCAAAGTGGGGGAGAACAAGAGGTCACAAGACCAGTCAAGCAAAGCAAAGAAAAGCAAGCTCAGGGTGGATCACAAAGTCACCACACATTCCGGGCACAAGTCCAAGGCCACAAGGCCAGTTCACATGCAGGAGTACAAATATATAGAAAGGCTAGACAAGCAAGAGCAGGTGTATAAATATGTAACAGTACAAGCAGGGTCAAGAGGTGAGCAAGTAAGGCAAGGTAGGCACAAGGCCCAGCTGAGTACAGAAGCGCTGATGTTCACAAGGCGCAAGCGCCTTGGTGAAGATATCAGCAGTGTTGGCCTCATA